CTAAGGAGGGCAGTTTGGCAACATGCATTGAAATCCACATTCTTTTACTATCAGATTCAGAAATGTCTTTTCTAGGAAACGTGTACATTACCTTCATATATGTGCAAGACATCATATGCACAAGCTTATTCACTGAAACCCTGTTTGTAATAGCGCAGTCTTGGAAGCATCCTAAAAATGTCCCCTGATAAATATGGTGGAGTATTATGCAGCCATAAAAAGGAGGCTCTTTATGTGCTAAGACAGAAAGAACTCCACTATATATTAAATGAAAAAGGTAAATGAGTGCATTTAGTAATCTCCATGTGGTTAAAAGAGGGTGAATGAATACCGACATACCTTGTTTTATTGTGCTTCATTTTATTGCACTTGCAGATACTGTGCTTTTTACAAATTGGATATTGGTAGCAACCCTTCATCAAGCAAGTCAGCACCATTTTTTTTTTCCAAGAGCATTTGCACACTTTGTGCCTCTGTGTCACATTTTGGTAATGCTCATAATAGTCCAAACTTTTTTGTTGTTATTATATTTGTTATGGTGATCTGTAATCAGCGCTCTTTGATGTTACTAGGGCGAGACCCTCCAACAGCAAAAAAAATTATGACTCACTGAAGGCTTAGATGATCGTTAGCATTTTTTAACAATAAAGTATTTTTTAATTAAGGTATGTACTTTGTAATTTTAGACATAATGCTCTTGCACACTTAATAGACTACAGTGTAGTATAAACATAACTTTTAAGCACTAAGAAACCAAAAAAGTGCAACTCGCTTTATTGCGGTGATCTGACCCAAACCCGCAATATCTCCAAGGTGTGCTTGTTAACATTTTCTTATTTATGTATAAAGTGTGATCAAGAGGATATACATAGAATGAATAAAAAGCATTATTCATGCCTGTAGAGAGAGAAAGGAATGCCTGAGGAACAGATGTAGGAGGGAGAATATTTACCATATGCCTCTTTATACTTTGGATTATATGAACACATAAATGTATTACCTAATGAAAGAAATTAAGTGAAACTATTAATAGACTAACTTACTAAGGAAAGACTAGTGACATTGACTCATATTAGGGAAAGGGATTTTGCTGCATTTTTTTCCCCACTATTAAAAAAATGACCCCACTCCTTAAAAATATCCCCAGGCTGCAAAAGTACCCTGGCCTTGTATTTGAGGACTGCGTAGACAGGGATTCATGCATAAACAGAAGTCCCTCTTTGTCAGTCAATTTAATGAGTACCTACTATGTGCCCGGCCATGACCCAAGCGCTGCGGGAACTCTCAGAAAGGAGACATGCCCAGTCACCCTGCGACCTGGGCCTCAGAGCAGTCAAGGCTGGAAACATTGTTCCTGATCCCCCTTCTCAGGGAGGGTTGGAGGCCCCTCCTGAAGAGGCAGCACTTAGAGGAGGAAGAATCATGGGGGCAGGACTGGGAAATAAAAAGTCATGAGTCCCAGGACAGTAGTGCTGGGATGGAGAACGAGGGAACCATCAGTGGACCACCACCCTCAGCCAGCTGTGCAGCAGACAGAATTTCAGGGATGCCACCTTCTTTTAGCAGTCCTCGTCTCCTATCCCTGATAGGGAAGGGCATTCTCCCACCTCTTCTTCTCTGCCTGAGCAAACATAGCCCTGGGCTTCCCTGAGCTCTCCCACCCACTGAAACCCTGCCTAGGAACGCACTGAGAGCCCAGAACAGGACAAGTTTGGTCCCAGTGGTGTCAGTATTTTTCTTTTTAATGAGACTCAAGGCACCCAGAGGAATCAAGTTCTAGGAATGACCTTTCTGGCCCCCAGGGGTCTTTCATGCTTTACTAATCATCCTGTCACAAAGGAAAGGAACATGAGTCCCTGTCTCTTCCATGGGACTTGGTTTTGTGTGAGGAGTTAAGAGTTTTAGAGAAACACAGACAGCGGAGGGGGACTCTGAGGAAGTGACTAGTGGGGTATCAGGCGTCAATGGCAGGACAGTGGGAAGAAAAGTTTTAGCTTGGGGCCTCCCTTCGCCA